TATAAATTTCTCCTTTAATATTCTCTCTTCAGAAATTTAATTGCTATATTTTTTGCCCATTTAAAAATCATTCTTTGCACATTTCCTACAGAAAGCCTGACAAGTATCAATACGATTATTGAACTCGGAAATAAACCAGAAACTGTCATTCATAGTGCTAATAAAAAAATTGGCCATCATTTGCCAGCATGCATATTGCCTAATGAGAATCTAAATATTAAGATTTGACTATTCCAAACAGTCAAGGTAAAAATAGGATAAAAACTGCAGAATTGAAAATGATGTGCACAAATCAATTCAACAAATACTAAGGCATTGAAATTGAACAAATAAAGCATTAAATGGAAGAATATTTTAAGTAGTGATAGACTGCACTTTCAGATTTCAACTATCTGCAACCTTATTGGATTTACCACCTCCTTTGGATCACAGAATTTAATTTAACAAGTGCTTTTGGCACATTAGAAGTATCAAGAAGTAGAAGATGTTGTGATGTTTCCATGTTAGAATTCAATAGAATGCTCGTATTGAAGATTTATTTAAAAATGAGGAAATAAAATTTGGGGTATTTTGTAAATGTTCCATACAATTATTACCGGTAATGGCAATAACCCATCACCAACTTTATATCTAGTTGATTAATTTTTCTTCAGAACTATATTTTTGCTTCTGATCATGACCACAAAAATGTTAGCTCTAAATGCAGTATTGATAAACTAAAATACATGTTTTAGAATACAAATGGTGAAACCCTAAACATTATTTAAATGAGTCTACCATTTTATTAGAAATCAAATAACATGTTAAGGCAATTCTTTTACAAATAGCTTATGATTAATAGATTTTCTAACCAGAAATATTTTTTATAGATATGAATTTGTCATGGGCAATAAATTTTCTTCTTATTATTATTTCTTATTATCCAGAAAATATTGGATGTGTGCAGATATTAAAATGAAAATGTATTTTCTGTGTCGACTGTAAATTAATATGCCAATTTCACACATTAATTCTGAAGCGTAATGATTTTATCTGCACAAATAACCATTAATTTCTCCTATATATATATATCTAACTATCATTTAATGGAGCCAGGTTTGCAATGATACATTTTGAATGTCAAGTAGACAATTATACCAGAAAGTGGAACAATATTCAGATTTAGAATGTAATGGATTCGTAGAAAATATAGGAATTAATTATTAAATCCGCACTCTTGATTCATTAAAAGAAATCTTTTGCATCCACAAATCACAGATATAACTTATACTAGGGGTTTCAGGTCGTGTGACATTAACGTGAAATCTGACAGCCAGCGGCTGAAATATAGCCCACTTCAATCTATGATTCTTAATTACTATTTTATTTATATGTATTACTAGCAATTGCGTTGTAATAGTTTAATATCAATCTCAATATCTGCAAAGATTCATGCTCAAAAATTGTCGAAATGTAAGCAAAAGTACTGCTCTGATGTCACGCGGCTGGGGATTTTCCTTTGCTACAACCCTCTTCATTGGTGAATCCGCATCTTAGTTTCCGGGGGATCTCAACATAGAGCCAATCAAACGATAGATAACATTTTTGTGATTATTATGGTGCGTGATACCCCGAGATAGGACAATTACAGTCATAGAGAACGAGATTTATCTGTTTTGCTGACTAAATATAGCCTACATTTTTTGTGGTATCATGCATCCAGATATTATAAATATTTGACATATGAAGAGATGAAGAAGTCTAGAATTATTTTCAGAGTTATTGCCCTTGGTTACTTTTTAAAGATATTCCGGCTAAACTTATTTTCTGATTGATTTGAAATTGATGCATGTTGTTTTTATACGCCAACATTTTCATGTGGACGTATATTGTCGTCGTCTCTGTCCGTCCAAACGTCTGTCCGTCCACAATTGTTTGTGGACACTCTACAAGTCACAATTTTTATCCAATTTCAACGAAACTTGAAATATAGGTTTATCTCCCTAAGATCTCGGTTCCTTTTGATATTGGCATGTATGGGACAGTAACTTCCTGAATTATGGCCCCTGATTGTATGAAAAATCACGTTTTAAGCTTGTGGTCCCTCTAGAGTTAACAATTTTTATCAAATTTAAAAAAACGTTTGAATATATCACCGTTACACCCTAATGATGGTTGAGTTCAAATTTTGTGAAAATCGGACCAAAACTGCCTGACAAAATGGTCACCCCTCATACACTAATAGTGTAAAAATATGGTATATCAAAATTGTGGACTCTAGAGGTCACAATTTTCACCCGATTTTGATGAAACTTGAAATGCATGTTTATAACTTAAAGATCTTGGTTGCTTTCGATATTATCGCATATTGGATCGTAACTTCCTGAATTATGGCCCCTGATTGTACGAAAAATCGCGTTTCTAGCTTGTGGTCTCTCAAGAGGTCTTAATTATTACTTGATTTAAAAAAAGCGTTCGAATATATCACCGTTACACCGTATTGTTGGTTGAGTTTGAATGTCATGAAAATCGGACCAAAACTGCCAGACTAAATGGCCGTCCGTCTATGCAAATAGTGTAAACCTCTAGAGGTCACAATTTTGATCCAATTTTAATGAAACTTGAAATGCATGTTTATAACCCAAAGATCTTGGTTCCTGTTGATATTCGCACATATCTGATCGTACCTTCCTGAATCATGGCCCTTGATGTTAGGAAAAATCACTTTTTGTTTAGCTTGTTCTCTATCCATCTCTTGAAAAATGTGGGCGTATCCTGCCTGGCAGCCGCTGGTTGTTCATAATATGAGGAATCCTATTGATTGTGTAATAAATGTTATTATCCGAAACAACTAGAAGCCAATAAAATTTAAAATATTTCTGGTAATGACTGTTGAATAGTTTTCAGTATCTTGTAAATGTTCCAATTACCTAAAAAGGCATAAAGATCTGAGAACCTTTGTGGACAACTCGGGCGACTTAGCTGCTGTGGGTGTATGATTTGTTTCCTGGCAACCTATCTTTACATTTCTTACTATTACTTTTAAGAAGGTTGTAGTGAACAAGAATATAAAATCAGACTTAAAATGATAAAATAAAATAATAATTGCAGATTGTCAGCATTTTCTTTATATCCTATTGTGTGTCTAGAAAATTAATAGTTTCTAAATAAGGTTAGAATAAATTCTCATCTGTTTAGATTATTTTATTCTCCCAAGGGCCGATTTAATAGAAAGTATAATATCCTTTCCGTATAATAAATTTCTACTGACAAAAATTGTTTTAATACTGATATATTTTGTCAAAGAAAAAAAATTAGCATAGACTCTTGAGGGATTTAAAAAAATGAATAGGATGGTTTCTTTCACTTATAAAAGGCTTTGAAATTCATTGAATGTAGGATCATTCCTAGTCTTTATACAGTTCTAATTAATATTTAGTAATGTTACAGGCAGCTTGGAAGTTCAGTGTGATTTTTATACTCCCACATTAAAATGTGCTAATATATTGTCGTCACCCCTGCTCATCTGTCCCATCTGTCATCCTCAATTTGCTTGCTGAGGTTTTAGAGCAGTAGTAAAGTTACTTCATAATTACTGTCAGAATTATAACTTTTGGTTCAGTTTCAATTGAAATATACTGTGGAAGCTCTAGAGGTTAAAGTTATCATCTGATTGACTTGAAATCTTATACAATGTTGATGTCAACACACGGCAGCCTCTTGTTTTTAACAATGTCCAAAACTTACTGTCAAAATTATCGCACTTGATCAATTTGAAAAATCTTGTTGACATCCTAGAAGATAAAGTTATTGTCTGATACCTGTGCTGTGTAATAAATGTTATCTCTATCAAGAACTAGAAACAGATTTGATTATTTCTGATAACCTCTATCAAGAACTAGAAACAAATTTGATTATATCTGATAATCTCTAGCAAGAACTAGAAACCAACTTGATTATTTCTGATAATTACGTCATGGTTGTTTATGACTCTTGATCAATCGTTAGTGTCTAGCAAATACTGCCATTACCAACAAAAGAATAAATATGTGACAACCTTTATAGACTTGGCTGCTGTTGGTGTATGTTATGTAGCCTGGCAACCTATCTTTGACATGCTGTATCAATGATTTGGGTTTCTGAAATCTAAAATTTGGAGAGTTCAAGAATCTTAATTCAATATTTTCTTTCCATTTGACTAGGGTATAGATCTGTGAATCTGGTCAATACGTGTGTGAATTGATATTGGTAGATCTGAATGTGTGGAAAAATTATATTAAAAATATTGAAAAATGAAATCATTCCATATAATTGAACATTCAGGGATATCATTAGTGTAATAATTAAAATAGAACGTTCTTCTATTTATGTATTGCATTTTCTACCAGCTCATTTGACGGGTGTAATGTTGCAATATATCTGTGTTTCTGTTGAAATATTTAAACATACTTTTGAACATTTCATAGTGGGCTGCTCTTTAAACATATAGAAAACCAATCTGTTTGACAGAGCTTTACGAAGTCTTCTAATATCTCTGTAAAAGATGACTACCTTCAACATGTGACGTCTCATCACGTGGCTTCAAACATTGACTCAATGGCGCGTGCATTGTTTACATAAGACCTTACTGGTTCGGGCTGAATGGAATCTTTTACTCATTTTAATACCCATTTGCACTAAATAGGAAATAATTTTTACCAACAAATACGTCAAACGCCTTTATTTATTTTTCTAATACATAAAAAAAAAAATGTTTTAGAATTTAATTTGTCGGAGAAAAAAAGTTAATATTTGTGGCTCATTAAGTCGCATCGGTGTCATCCTTATGAGTGATTGTAGTGGACTAGCGAATATTTACTGCTGATCAGTGTGATAGAAAACAAGAACGATTCTTTAGCCCATATGGATGCTATTCTGCAAAAGAAAAAACTTCCTGTTGGAAATTAACAATCGAAGAATGTGAGAGAGCTTCTAGGCCATGCCGATAACATATTAAGTTATGTTTATTTTTATCTTTTCAGATTTAGAACTGGACCCGGTGTTATTCCTACCAAAGTTCCAAGAAAGACTGAAAATCTTTTACTGGTTTTAAATGGACGAGAAGTATCAAAAGTTGATTTTGCCAAAATGTGGTTGGATTTTTTACCAACACTTCCATATTTGAAAAATGCTGCCGTAGTCCTGCTGGGAAACGAACAGTGTAACAATGATTGGATAAAACCTTATCTTCAAAATAGAGGGGGCCCAATCAAATTTGTATTTTTAGTGTATGATAGCCATGACATAGATAATGTTAATTTTTACCAGTGGCCATTAGGTGTTGCAACGTAAGTATGTTAATGTAATTATTGACTCTAAACGCAACTCTGAAAGAAAAGTTTGAAATTCATCACAAAATTATAGTACTGTATAGTACTAGTAGTCTTGGTCAACTAACAACTCTACAGCCAATGTTCCCAGACCATATATTTGTTAAGATAGCATAAAGAATATAGTTCTAGGTAACAGAGACTAACCTAATTAACTAAACCATAATTTCTCTCATTTTACATTGACATGTGATTTAACACTGGGCTAACATAGAGATACAGAATATTCCTTTAAGATTCAAAAACCCCAAACATTATATATTCATCTCCAGGGAGATTTTATTTGCAGTATTATTTAATTTCGTATCATTAAAAAAGAAATCTTCTGTCTCCACCGAATAGACTATTTTATAGTTTTAATTGAGCCTACTTCTATTTTATTAGTCTCTACCGGATATTATTTATAAGATTGATGATATTGAAATTGAAATTCTAGTTTATAAACAGATAGCTTTTTTTAAGAATACTGACTGATATTAAATCAGCATCGCATGTTTAAAACAATTTATGAGCACATATCCAGACAATATAGGTGGGTCATTCCATATCAACTGGACGAATGGTGGGAACATGACTCTCTCCAAAAAATTTAAAAAAAAATATATACTAAGCAGCAAAAGAAACGTCAGGTCGGTATGTTACTCATAATAGACGCATTGCATAAAACTTGCCAAATGTTTTTATTGTGTATTTGTGACCACATCTCCAACTTTACCTGAGCAATACAGAATTGAAACCAGGAAATGTTCTCAAAAATGCAACCTGACTTCTGAGATGGTAAAGTGTTCTCCATGATTTTCATGTAACTCATGCTGTTCTCCGGGACCAGCCCTGGTTGAATCATTCACACTACAACTTCAGCAGCATGCCACGACTCACGACAGCTCAGAGGAACCATGCGCTTGGAAGACTTGACGCTGGCCGCACTGCCCAACTTTAAGCCGTTGCCAATCACTTCCGGGTCAATGTTCGGACCATCTAGATTGCTACCGAATTGGTAGACCAAGGGTTACCACAAGGCGAAAAGACCGCCATGTTGTGCGACAGCACGTGCAGAATACCATCACACAGGCATCTGAGACAGCACGTCAGACAGTCAGAACACCCAGAAGACCCATCAGTACCGATACAGTGCGTCAACGTCTCAAAAGAGAGAACATCCATTACCGTAGACCTTACTGTGGACCGATCCTTACCCCTCACCATCGACTTGAACGTCTACAGTTTGCCCAGCAAAACCAGAACTGGCGACACAGACAGTGAAGAACTGTTCTGTTCACAGATGAGACTCGGTATTGCGTATCAACTGCAGATGGCAGGACCAGAATATGGCGTCAACGTGACCAGTGTTATTCTGACCAATGTGTCATTGAACAAGATTCATGGGGAGGTCCAAGCATAATGGTTTGGGGTGGAATCAGCCTGAACCAGAGAGTGGGTCCTGTGGTGTTCCAAAATCTTGGTCCAGGGAGAGGAGGCGGCATCACAGCAGTGCACTACATCGATCAAGCTCTCAGACCCCATGTCATACCACATTTCGCACGTCATTGATATAGCGTTTTCTAGCATGACAACGCTCGTGCCCACACCACCAGAGTTACTCGGGACTTTCTACAGCAGAACGGTGTCAGCGTTATGCACTGTCCAGCCCTTAGTCCAGACTTAAACCCGATTGAACATCTTTGGGATGAAATTCAGAGAAGACTTAATAACGTCGAACCGAGACCAAACACAGCCGATGGATTGTGCCAGGCTTTTCTGAGAGTGCGGTTCCAGGTGTCAATGGCGTTCATCAATCTTCTGGTCCACTCTCTGTACAAACGCTGCGCTGCTGTTACTGATGTATAGACTGTGAACAGACTCTAAACCTTCTCGCAATGTCTTGGAATTGTGATGAGTTAATCATTGTGTCAACATACTGTTCACAAAAAATTGCTTTTATTCATTAAGTGAGTCATTTTCTAGAATGATTTGATTAAAATGCCTCTCTGATTTTGAAATCGTACTGACGTTTTTTTTTGCAGTTTAGTATATGTTATAGTATATGGCCTTTAACTATCAAATCCGAAATTTTACCTCTCTCTTTCGAAACCTCGCTGAGATATGGCCATCTGAAATTGGGGTACTGAAACGGATCATAGATTCCGTATTTTTTTTTTCAGGTTTCCGGATGCTTTAAACTCACATTTCTAATAGAAGTAGAACTTGATAACATTGTAACGTAAGACAATGTTTGAGGTAGATTATGAATTTAGCTCACACTCATTGTCCAGTGCATACTTTCTGCGCCTGCAGGTGGTGTGGAACAAATGAACTATTCACTTTTATTTTCAGGATTCCCACAGTCTCTGGCAAAGTCAATATTGTATACACAAACTCCAAAATTGGCATAGTTTATGTCAGTTTGTCTTTTATATGAATTTACAAAAGATTCTGAGTAGATGGGATATATACTTTTCCAAATTTTCAGTCTTGAAATTCAGTGCACACTAAAAACGTACAAAATATGCCCATTTTCACCTTCAATTTTGGCCATGTGGGACAGAGGTTAAAATTCTGAAAATGTTTGATAATGAAACTTCAATTACCCTACTATACTACTATAACATACACTAAAGTCCACCGTTTGTATTTGATGGCTTATATTTTTTATTGACATTTGAAATCTGTGCGGTGATGAAGTTTTAATGGCTATTATCAAAATTGTTAACTTTTCACATTGATTTTAAAATAACTTCTAAATGACCTCTACCCCAAAACGTGTCTATTTAAAGTAAATGTTTGCGTACATTACAAATATGGAATCAATTTTGATGCACATTGTATTGTTCTAATTTTATTTTCCTTCCAAAATGAGAACAAAATGGTTAATACGCTTCATGAATTGAAATATTGGGTTTTGACGATCAGATTTAAATTATTTCTGAAGGACTTTGACCCCTCATATTTGTCATTTGAGATCAGCTCTAGACAGAGAATAAGAACAAGGACTCTTTTGGGATGCAGGGAGTATCGTTTCAATTTAGTTTTGCTTTAAAAACAGGTGAAAACTTGTTTTGTCTGCTTAGAAAGTTGAAGGCCTACTATGTAGTTTCACTATCACTAAATGCTTAAAAACTACAGGCCGCAAATTCTTAACGCATCGTCTTGAAACTTTGCATACTAATTTTTCCTTATACCCTAAGGATGTCTCGACTGTTTTAGGTGCGTGCCCGACCCCTAGGGGCAGAGAGCCATGCTCAGTTTTTGTATGTGTCAGTTTGACGTCTACAGGGCCACGCCTATTTTTTTTAGTGTGCCTGTGTGTTTTGATCATCTTGAAAACTTTTCATACTTATTGCTTATACCTTTAGGATAAACGCTATTACTTTTGGTGCATGCCCGACCCCCAAGGGCACGCAATTCCCATTTCTTTTATGTTTTATCGCCTAGGGGACGCAATTAAATTAAATTAAATTGAAACGATACTCCTTGTAGCCAAAATGAGTCTATATTCTTATTTTAAATTAGAAATTGCTCTAAAATGAAAAATATGAGGGGCCTAAGTCTTTCAAAAGTAATATTAATCTTATTGTCAAAGCCCAATATTCCAATTTGTGAAGCAGAATAACATTTTTTTCTCAATTGGGAAGCAAAATAAAATTAGAACAATACAATGTACATCCAAAATGATTGCTTATTCGTAATCTACGCCAACATTTACTCTAAATAGACACATTTGAGGGGTATAGGTCATTTAGACGTAATTTTAAAATCAACATTGATAATAGGTATTAAAACTTCATCACCGCACAGATTATAAGAGCCAATTAAAAATTATAAGCTGTCAAATACACAAGATGGACTTAAATGTATGTTATAGTAGTCTAATTGAAGTCTCATTATCAAACTTTTTCAGAATTTTAACCTCTGTCCCCCATGGCCAAAATTAAAGGTGAAAATGGGCATATTTTGTATGTTTTTAGTGTGCATTGAATTTCGAGACTGAAAATTTGGAAAAGTATATCCCATCGACTCAGAATCTTTTGTAAATTCATATAAAAGACAAACTGACATTAACTATAACAATTTTGGAGTTTGTGTATACAATAGTGCCTTTGCCAGAGGCTGTCGCAATCCTGAAAAAAACATGAATAGTTCATTTGTTCCACATTTTGCCACCTGGTGGCACAAACTATGTGAATCGCACATTGCGTGTGATGCTAAATTCCTAATCTACACCAAAAGTTGTCTTAGATTACAAAGTTATAGAGTTTTACTCCTATTAGAAATGTGAGTTTAAAGCACCCGAAACCTGAAAACAATTACTGAATTTATGATCCGTTTCAGTACCTTAATTTCTCAATGAGTTTTCGACCTAGAGAGGTATAATTTTGGATTTGTTAGCTTAAAGCCATATACTATAACATATAATTGTTATATTTTTTTTGGTGAGGGTCATGTTCCCAACTTATTGAAATTTGGTCCATTTGACATGAAATGACCCAGGAGAATTATTTTGTCGCCACTAACAGTAGGAGGAATCTTGTTTCTTTCCTGTTATGTATCTCATCTTTTATCAGATCCAGTATATTTTAGTGAAAATCCTAATCCAGACACCTCTCATTCTCTTTCTGTGAACTACAGTTTTAGTTTACGCATGGAGTTTGCCATATAAACTCCACAAATTCCAAGCTGTGTCAGCATAAAATTGAAGAATGAAATTCCTGAAATGGGTTACTTTACCTGCTGATTTAGGAAATCTAGCAACTGTTTGGTGAAAGTAAAAATCAAGTGTGAAACCTTTAACTTCCCCTTTAAATTCTGTCACAATTCAGTAAATACTAAACTTATGTATGAAAATTAACTTTAATTTATCTCTATATGATCATAAACGAGAGTAGGCCTACTTGTACCATACTCTCTTTATTATTTAAAGCTATAATATGTATGTGGATAATAATCAATGTAGTTTTTCTGTTACAGATATCGAGATTTTCCTCGAGTAGACACACCTCATTTACCTGTTTCTTCAAATAGACGTTATACCTGTAATTTTCTTGGAACTGTATATAAAAATTCATCTCGAGAAACTCTCTTACAAATTTTGAAAAACAGTACACACAAGTCTTCATTTTTCATCAAACCCAGATTTGAGTAAGTACAGAATGCTTCATTTTGTTTAAAATAGATATCTAAGTCAGAATAAACAGCATCTCATGAAATGCTGATAGTGAGTGCATTGAGGGGGAATAACTCCACCATTCATCTGATCAGCTAATTTTTGTAATTGGCTTACCTAGTGCATAATGAAAAAATATATGGAATTAAAATATTATTGGGATTTATTATTTGTGTCCATATGGCATTCAAAGTTATAGAAAATATGGACATTGGGATGATAATCAACCTAATGAATATTGTTATTGAAAAGAATTGTACTATTTTCCTCCCAGAATAGACATAAATAGTAATTTCATCATAAGAAGGCTAAAAGAAAACATGTCTTTTTATTTTAGGTGGCTTCCACAAGAAACAGATGAATCAAGAGATGACTATATCCGAGCTCTTGCACAGAGCGATTTAACTCTTAATCCTGTTGGTCAAAATACTGAATGTTACAGAATCTACGAAGCCATGGCATATGGTTCCGTCCCCGTTATAGAAGATCACATGACCCCCGGGAACTGTGGTGTATCAAGTGCTTCCTCTCTTTCACCATTGCGCCTTTTAAAAGAATTTAATGCTCCAGTTATTTATGTTAAAAGTTGGAATGAACTTCCAGGAATTTTAGAAAAAGAAGTGACTTTAACTCCTGATGATCGAACTCACAGGAGACAAAAACTAATTCAGTGGTACGAAAATTTTAAATCTATAATGAGAGACAGATTAGTGCGAGTTTTAGAAGAAAGATTTTTTAATATAAAACGGTAATATGTTGAAGTAATATAGTGCTAGATTTTAAAGAATTGTTGTCATTATTGGTTTTTAAATAAGAAAAATGAAATTATGAAAGAAACCAAAGTCTTTCTATGTGAGCCAAATGATGCTGATTTTATTTATGTTCATGTATGTTCATGTCCTTGTATATAAATAATGTTATGTAATTCATTGTCTCTATCTGAATAATTTAGAGGCACAATTCACATAGGATAGCATTTGTTAATACATGTACATGTATCTATCATTTGTTAATACATGTACATGTATCTATCATTTGTTAATACATGTACATGTATCTATCATTTGTTAATACATGTACATGTATATATCATTTGTTAATACATGTACATGTATCTATCATTTTTGTTAATACATATATCTATTTAGGATAGCATTTATTCAATCTGATTAAATTACAGATCTATATTTCGTTTCGTTTTTTATACTTTCGATGGCCTACACTATATGAAGATCTGACTGGTTGTACTGGAAGGTCATGACAGGTGTCGCACGAGCGGCTTATGACCCTATGACGTCAAACATTGTTTAATAAATCAACGTTGACGTACCTAATGGTTTACCCACAGTTCCGTGCATTTCACGGCAAGAACTCACCATAACAGACTCTTTCATTGGCTAATCCCTTAGTTCAACAGAACGCTGGTGATATAACAACTCTTCCAGATCCTAGTGTAGTAAAACAAGTTCAAAATTTTGATCTATAAACAATGAAACGAAATAGGATCTGTGTTTTAATCAGATTGGCATTTATTAATACATGTATCTATCTAAATAGCATTTATTAATACATTTGTCTATCTGGATAGAATTGATTATTTTATTCATGCACATTTATCTATCATTTGATAATATATGTATCTTATCATTCATTAATATGACTATGTATCATTTATTAATATATGTAGGCTTATATATCATTTATTAATACATGTATGTATCTAAGATAGCATCTATTAATACATGTATCAAAATTAAAGAATAAAAGCAGTGTTAGGCAACACAAATAAAATAAGTTGTTTCTCGGGCACCGCCCGCACGCAAAATTGGTTGCGCGTGCGGCCTATTTATTAGTCTTGATGAAAAATAAAAAATATGTAACGCCCGCCCGAACATCGATAAGCAAGTCATAAAAAAAATATGCCGCATGTATCTACATGCCCCATTCGTGAATATCCATTCAAATGTATTAAACTGATTCAGATGTAAACGCTCATTTACGGGTCTTTTTTATTGATATCGAAAGAACCTCCATTTTTGTATCACGTGATTTTAATTACCTCCCCTTGTGAACTAGAATTTGATTCGTGTTAAACACCGAAAGTCATTGACAACAATGCAATGTATTTCAATCATTATTGCCGGCTTCAGTCGGTCCATGTTTGAAAAAATCCTACTTATAAAACAATGAATCGTAGAACAGGTTAATTATTATAACTTGTGGCTACGAATACGATACGATGATAGTCACCATACCTTAGTCAGAATCTGGGTCATTAGCACATTTAACGGTAGTTTTGATAATCCGGAAAATAATAATTGGATTACACATTTGATGGTTTTACTGACGATTTGTTAGTTAAATTTAAATAGTCATTCGATATAAACCCCAGATAGAACACCGATTATCCAGAGAAACACACAAAATATCCTGAGAAACAGTCATTTCACGAATCCCGATGACACTTGACATGCATTGGTTGGAATTAGGTCAATCATTATTTATAAACCAGCGATACTAGATTTAGATCGAAGTGTCGTTTACCGTGATGATTATTTTTGATACACATGCTGACAGAGGCTTACTCTTTAAAATATTGTCGTTATTATGGACGGCTATTAATAGTCGTACGGAATTTTCTTTTAAACCAATTTCAATTATGGTTGTCACCATTACCATTAGTAAGCTACATTACGTGAATTAAATATGGAAAATTATTTTCCTTTCAGTCAGTGTTCAGTGTTTGAGTAGACTTGATTTTTGGGTTTATGTTCTAAGTATGTATAATATATAACTGAAAGCAAAACCGTAGACAAGTAATGACTTTCTCATTAAAAAAAAAAAAAAAAAAAAAAAAATACAAGGCCGCCCTCCCGCCCCAACAATTTTCAACAATAGGCAAATTTTATTTTGCACCATCCTCTAGCCGGAAATGAGATAAAAAAAAAAATAAACCGCCCTCCCCCCCTACAGTTTCAGCTGTCAGTTGCCCGAGAAACAAGACATTTATTTTGTGTAGCCTTATAACCCATGATGACATTAGAGAGATGGGGGTATGTTTTTTATGGCTGTTTGCAAGATTGTCATTGGGGCATCTCCAAAACTATATACATGTGATCTATTAATAAATGATCTATTCAGATATTTCTGATTATATTCTAAGATAGCTCAGTATATGGCACAGTTGACCTTTGATTTTGGACAATACTTGGGCTATAAGTGAGTACAGGAAATGCTTCCTTCAAAAGGATGTAGATACCAAGTTTAGTGACCTCTGTTTAGGCCAAAACTGCCTCTAAATAAAATTAAAAACTTATTAGAATGTTGAATTTATTTTTATTCTTTATTGAACGTATATTTAATTGAAAATTTAAATATTGCATTATAAACTTGCAGTATCCTTATTAGGAAGAGCATCAACATATCAAATTTTGTTATTGTATGGGTATGATAAATATTTAAACGGAATAAATATATTATGTAGATATATTTGTCAGTTAAACTTCAAATTACTGATAGAACTTATGAAACAAATTAGTGATGAGATTAATGGGCTAAAACCTGTTAAAAATTATTAGGCAAATTTCTTGAACACTTCATAAGTACAATTGTTTCATTGAAATAATTTTATTACTCACATGGGCAACATGTGATTGCCATGAAAGTGTGATCTACGCAGTATTATATAAGTAGTCCTTGTCAAAAGTTTCATGATCAAGATGTACTATATATTTATTAGCCTAATATTGTTTCTTTGAAATAGTTTTCTTACTCACACAATGTTGCCATAAAAGTGAGATCTACGCCATATTACAAAAACTAATCTTTGCCAAAAGTTTCATAAATAATACCTTATTTGGTGATATTGTTTTATTTCTCATATATTATGTGATTGCCATGAAAGTGAAATCTACACAATATTACGTAAGTAATCCCTGTTAAAAGTGTCATAAATAAGATGTACTTTATTTGGTAATGTTGAATCATTAGTTATAACATAGTTCTAAATCTAATTAATTCTTGACATTTGAAGAATGTCAATTTGGTTGGTTTCCGGTTCATATATCAGGCAGTATCAGCTGTATATATTGAATCCAGCTATAGATAGAATAGAAACTCTCTTCTTTTGTACCGGTAATTAATTCGTTTGGATGGTTAATGTTTACTAAATAATAGTTGGATTTTTGTGATGATGATGATGGCCCTCAATTGAAGTTGACATAGGGTTAAAAGTTGATTTATAAAATAATAGTCAGCAGAACAAATACCCACAACTATAATTAACCTTTGTGTAATTAAACATTTAGGTCTTAGTATTTTTTTAGCATAGCCGGGTGAACAACCATATTTTCAAAAGGGTCCTCCTACTAATCAGTCAAGTGTGTCTTTTGGTCAATAGCATCCAAAGTATTTCAAAAAGTGACTAACAAGGAAAGATATATTATATATGCATTGTCTACACATATCCAAAATTTAAATGATTTCATAACAAAATGACAAATTTCTGATCATGAAAATGTTTTCAGTCACTAACAAGAACCCACATACCAATAATTTTTCAACTTTTTATGAAATTTTTGAGAGGATATGATGTGTAGAATATATATGTATATCTATAACACATCTTGCCTTGTCGGTCACTTTTTGCAAAACTTTGGGCACTATTGACTAAAAAAAAACCCCACTCTTGTCTGTTCTTGTCAGTGATTAGTATGACCGTGATAACAACTTGATTTCAAGTTTTGTGTTTTAGCAAAAACTGTTTTGATTTTGAAGATAGTCTGGATCTTCTGATTCTAAAAGTTTTTGCTGGCTTCTGATAGTTAAATTAGGTCTTGACAGATGTCAGCCTTAGCTGTAAGTTGTTTTTTATTTCGGATTCTGTGATTTTCAGTCCGTTCTACGAAACAAAACCCTGCGTATATATGAAGTCAGAAGATTCAGATTATAATTATATTATTGTTGAGCATTAAATGCAATTTATTGTTGTTGATATTAATTTGATTTATTTTATTGTTGATTCTTAATACATATATCAAATTAATTATTTAGTCTGTAATCATCAGGAAGAATTTGGTTGATATTTTATTTAAAGCTGCATTCCTCCAGTATAATATTGTTTGATTAATTAAAATACAGATAATCATGCTGGGTCAAGCTGTATGAATTGTAAAAATCGATTGGAATGGTTTGTTGATGTTCTTGGGTCGGGAATGAAATAGGAGTCAAAGCTGATTTTAAAATTGTCATTTTAAACCCTCTGCCCTGGCTTAAATTGTATCTTGTGATTTGCGCAACTTTTCCGTACCCCTTTTAAAATTAAATGGAACCTTTAAAATATTAATTTTAAGTACTTGGAGGAATACAGCTTTAATGGTGTTCAAAACTGCTCAATATTCACACACCATGAACTTTATAAATATATTTGTTTGTTAATGTATATACATTAACTTTCAGACATATCATTCATCACCTAATGTCCAAATATTTAGATTCCTATTGGCTATATTCTGTCATGAAGAGTGATGGAATTCAGGTTAGAGCTCCAAGAATTAATGACCATTATTGAACTTATTTTTAAAAAAAACAAACAAATAGTATGTACTACAAGTATTTAATTTGAGTACAATGAACTGTATGATATAGGTCAATAATGGAATATGGTAATAATAAGAACTGAAAGAATATTATTTTTAGGTGGTGAAAATTAAGCCATTTTATCGGAGGACCTGTCATGGTATCTGATAATGTAAACATTGGGCAGTTTAAAACTAAACAGATGTTCTCTTGTTTTGTGTTATAAACCTACTAACAATAATACTGCCTTAAAGGGACATTAAACCAGATGGTATATAGATATTTTAAAGATACGTTCCTGTGTACAAACTGTGTGATTTGATGATGTATTTGGACTAAAAACATATTCAAACTAATAAATCTATCAAAATTTTGCTACAAATCCTTGTCAAAACACTGTTTAGGCGAGGGAATACCCCTGCTATAAAAAATCTATTAGCTGACGAACTGCCTAGCAACGGGTGCGAAGTCGGAGGAAAATTCATTGCATACACAAAACGATGTTGTCTATAATTAATTGCTATCCATTTATCATAAATATCGAAGCGTAATTAAATTCTCGGATTATCCACTGCCCACGTCTTTTTCTGTGATTTGTATCTCAGAAAGTGTTGTACGTCTAACTCTTCATAAAGTTTATCATCATGTACATCAAGTGCTCAATCTCTGCGTGCAATCTTTGACGTCAGGCAAGCAGAATTCCTAATCGTTGAGTGTTTTTCTGGGAATTCCGTATTTTTCTAGTAAAATTGGATATTTTTACATATACCAAAATTGCCATACTTTTATTGGAAATAACCTACCCATAAATACTTTTCTTGGAAATAACCTCCCGATAAATACATTTCTGGGAACGTATCTTTAATAGTCAAACTGTACCCCACATTATTTTCACTACCAGGTTAATTTCTATTCAAAGTTGGCTGATTATTAGTTGTGGAATCAAATACACAATTATAAATCTTATAATTTGTTTTTATTTGTTACAACAAATAATCTTAAATTATTATTTAGGCCATACTATTTGATTTTTATTCTGGTCTGTTGTCCTTTTAGTATACTGTAAACTGTAAGGTATTTATATGGAATTAGAGTCATCTCAACAGAATATGTTCAAGTCATATCAGTAAACTTCAGAAGAGTGTCATGTCTAATTAATTTTAATTGATAGTTCTGTGACATATCTGTGAGTAGTATTGTATTAGAATTGGCAGATTGAAAAACCATATATAGGTCATGTCCAAATTTGCTATTTTGAAATGTTGTGTGTTGTTCAAATAAAAAAAAAGAAAAGATTGGATTGATTTTGATTGGACCAAAAAGTACAGAGTATTCTATAAAAATAAATCAATCATACATCCAGCATACATGTCAAAACAAGTTTGTATTTTTTTTTAAGGCCACACAAATACCTATTAAAAGTAATGTAGAAATATGATCTCTGCAACAATATTGTCTCTTTAACTGATTATTGGTTTCACATACTGTAGAGAAGTCATATTTCACCAATCAAATTGAATGAGTGATAGGTTTATATTTAAAAACGGTGATATAATTTGGTAAAAACACTAGTTATGTCCTTGTATTGTCAAAATGTCCATCAAATTCTCTCTTGTTTATGAAATGTATTTGGTGGACCATATTGAATTTTAAAATTTTTGGATTATAAATTTAGAACATAGATTATTAGTCATTGATGTTAGATTTAACAAAGACTTCTTTGCTGCCTGTCACACCTTGTCTCTGTTTTAAAATGATTTCATTCACAACAAGAAATACATTTCCTGAAGTTCACACAATTCATACAGTTATTAGGACCTTCAAATTTTTCTTTTTATGATTCATACAATTATTAAACCCTTCAAATATTTTGGGCTGACAATCTGTTTATTAATGGAGATCATGATTGATACTATAAAACAAAATGTTTTATTTTATTTTTCTTGTATTTTAATATTCTTCATCATAATAATATACCTTGTTTATACAATAGATATTTAGAATATTATACAGATCTGGTTTCAAAGTACATAATACATTCATTATTGTGTTTAATTATGATCTTTTTTTTTCCTCTGACTACACTACTTTGGAAAAATGTTTATTCATTGATATGGTGTAAATCAAAAAAAATTTGAGAGAGAGAGAGAGAGAAATGGGGTTTAAGTCCACTTGACACAAACTAGGTCATTTCGGAACTAAATATAGTTTAATTTTATTACAATAAATCACTTGCACGTAGGGGTCTTTAGCAGTGGGAGGAAACCAGAGGACCCGGAGAAAACCCACAAGGTTGGACAGGTGACCCTACTCCTTGTCACTTTCAACTGGGGATTCGAAACCACGCCACTTGACTCAATGACAGGCCTTAAGACAGAGCGTGCATGTGCTAACCATTCGGCCATCCAACCCCCCTAAAAGTTTGAGGATTAAATATTAGCCTGTTTTATACAATAATAGTCGAACAAAAGTTGATAAAATGAGGTCAGTTTAAGTTGAGTGCAATTGTTCAGTTCAATTCAATCCTTACCTTTGAAATAGTAATCTGAAAATTTGAGATCTTTAAATTAAGTAGTTGTCCAGATATTGCGTTTTGGAAAACTATTTAGATATAGAACAACTTGTATAAAAAAGTAACGTCACATCATACTTTTTGCTGCGCAAGTAAGTACTCATGGAGAAGTCCTCCTCCTTATGTTCAGTAAGAATATTCCTTTCAGTCACTTTATTCAAATAAACAAATGAAAGCAACAAATTTATATTATTGAAAACTAATCACAACATATTAGTATTTACTTTTTTAAATCAATAGAATAGTTGGAAAGATATATGTTTTTTTTTGTTTTTGTAGTATCTTTGACTTTCATCATTGTTCTTTTCCTCCGTGACCAAAAACAATAGACTACTACAATTCAGGTTCCTTTAAACTTTATTCTTTAGGTTAAGGTCACAAATCTCCACGGTTCTCAAGAAGAATATCTGGCTTTGATATGGCTGGTATGAGAGTCTTTTAAAGTTGCCAAGGTTCTAAATTGCTTTATGTCAGATTGACAAAACTAATGACGGAATGGACATGAACCATACCTTGCAAATTAGCAGGCACTATTACGTAATTTGGTCAACTAGATACATTCCACTCTGTAGTATTTATCAGAAGGCATACTTCCTATACATTATCTATTTCCTACCTGTTCTATTATTACTGTCAATTACATATTTACCTATTTTATGCTTGAGTTTTCTTACAAATGATATATTAGGTCATAGCTCTTGTATGACTGGTCAAAATTTAAGAAAAGAGAAAATGTTTGAATTTTTCCAAACAAAACTTAATAAATTTAATATATATTATGCATGTTATTATCGCATATATAAAATATACTACTCTATATTTATTCCAATGGCAAAAATGTTAGAATTTGAATCAAAATAGTTTTATCTAATGAAAATTATTGTGCATATCATTCATATATGAACTGTATAGTTAATACTGGTTTCCATGTTGTAGTTCAGAGATTGATGTGAAACAATTTAAGCAAAATAGCATCAATTTATTTTACAATATAAACTATTCCATTTTGAAGGACAAAAACCCTTTAATTTGCCCTATCGGTCATTTGTTTGGGAAAGCTAACACATATGTGTATTGTTCTAATAAAACTATTTAATCAGAAGATCATTAATTATTTTACAAAATAAACTATTCCATTTTGAAAGACAATAAACCTCCAATTTGCCCTATTGGTTGTTATTTGGGAAAGATAACATTTTATATGTGTATTGTTCTCATGGAAATATTTGGTTGTCTGTTAACTATATGGAAACCAGCTTTAAATATATAAAACATTTAACATATAATGTTTTAGTTATACAAAATTGTGAATGAGCAGATTATTTAATTGAGATGTTTGTGTAAAAATGAAATATTGTTGAACTTATTCAAATTAGTTTAATTTTGGACCTTAATACCTTATTATAGGGCCTATGGTTAAAATATTAGACAAGGCATAACTGAACTTTATTGTTCCCCGTCTTTGGATCAAAGCAGTGGACTATTAAAATGAGTTTGTCTATCTGTCCGTCCGTCTGTCTCTCCATCACACTTTTTGGGACACAATAACTCTTAATTGAGCTAGAATGTTCAAACTTGGTGTAGATGTTTATTAGGTAGATGCCTTGATAGAGTTCGAAGATGAGTATTTTCTGCTTAGGGTAAGCAAAAATAAGCAATTTGATTGGTTGATGCTTTGGGACACAATAACTTTAGTTCTGATTAAGTGAGAGTGATCAAACTTGGTGTATAGTTTCATTTCATCAATACCTTGACTAAATTTGATAAGGCCAGACCAATTTATTCTCTTGTTTTACGGATCCGCCGACCTGAATTTCTAGAACCCGCCCAAAAAAAAAAAACATAATTGTGTCCGATGAAAAAAAAAATCAACCTTCAATCCCCGATTAAAAAAAAAAATCGTCTTCTGGACTTCTAAAACTGACGAAATTTAGTAACAGTAAAAGTAATGAAAATGGTAGTGCACGCAATATTGTCAATAGGAATAGCAGCTAGCTTGTAGTAGCGACATCATGTTGCAAAAAATTCGGATTTGGGCGACATTCGGGAATTTACCGCCACTTCAAGATTCTTGCCGAAAATATATTATTTATTGAATCCGTTTGCTTATTACCCGACAAGCCGATGTCAGGTAATAATTATTCATGTTTCCGGGCCAAGACTTGAGAACACCGGCTCACTTGATGAGAAGTCATGGCCCCGAACATGTATAATTAACACATGTGATAATGTAACGAAGTCAATGATTGGATTAGCTATATCAGTTAGCCAATGAAATACGTGGTAGCTTATAAAAAAAAATGAAAGTTGCGTCGTATGTTTTACGAACGTGAGGATGGTGAGCCGTTATTTATTTTATTGGTGTTAATTATTCTGTGATCGTCATAGAAGGGTGCTAATTTTATTGGTCAGATAATTAATCAGTGTTGGACATGTGAGCTTACATAATATTGTCAAAACACGTAAGTTGAGTTTATGTTAAATAAAATACCGACCGAAATCCCGATTTTCAGATGCGACATCATGATCATGTCGGTCCGTATAGCGACATGAACCGTGTTATAGCGATTTCTGCTCCTGATTCGCCCATTAGCGGGACCCCTTAGCAGAATAATATCGACGACCCAAATCTCGAACGAAAGTATTCACATAAACGCTGCCTCCATAAACCTTGACAATGCCAGCCTCGCTCGTCCAAACGCTACGTCTACTCTACTAATGTATTTGGTGACATCCCGTGACCATTCGGTTCTTTCCGTAGAATACCGGTCCAGTTTTCACCTAGCCAATCGTGTGCATTCTTTTATTAATCCTACTTATAACCAGCCAATGAAATATGTTTTCACTTCCTCTTTGGCCAATAAATTCGCCATGATGGTTCAATACGACTAATCTAGGCGTGTTGTTGGTGACATTTGATTTCGCCTTTCAAGCCCCACAATGGATTCACGCTATTTTAGCGTGAAAGTGGTAAGAGCTTTGGAATCTTTCAAGTGCCTGATAAGAATAAGCCTCGATCGAACAGTGGGTGAACTGGCTAATTTAGCAATTGAGAGAGTGGGCCTACTTCCTACTTCTTCCACGCCCAGCATTGTAGATGATGATGGACTGCGCATCGAAAAAATTATGGCCTTTGATTCCGCTTCCAGTTCAGACGTTACGACAAATGGTAACATCGTAGACGCATCAACACCCCTCCATGTCATCGTAGATTTTAATCTGATGTTTGTAACAGTCTTTCTTGTTTGCAAAGTGAAAGTCAGTGGTTCAAAATCAAACTCAACTCCTTCAAGTGGTGACAACGATAAGCAGGGAAAAAATGCTTTTGATGAAATGATGTCCAGTAACATAAAGTATGATTGTTTACCCCCCTCAAAAAATTATAACAATCTTAGAAAAGACCATAGGATGTTTAATGACATTCTTAGTTTGTTGAAAGAAATGAATGTTGGATTCACAGCCCATAATGTTAATAGTCTTGGGAAGCAATTTGTCAGCACACTCCACAATACATTATGGTATATTACTTCACAGCATCATAAGTTTAAAGATCGTGGATTACAAATTCCAGATATATTCCAAAAATTTTCTGGATATTATGACAACAAGGCCTGTCACAAAGGACCTCCCCAGGTAGATTTTGTTTTCTAGAACAAGGCTAGAATTAAAATATCCAAACAAAGCAAACTGTTAAAAACAGTAAAAGACATAGACATACATACAATAAACAAAACTAGTTATGTGGACTTTTCATATGGCATGAAAAGTGGTATCAGGTGTTCCGGAGGGGTAAGCGTACCCTGCCCTGTGCACAGCACCCGCCACAAAACAATAACTAGCAATGAAACACAACCTTTATGTAATAGACATTTGATTTTTAGTAGGGGAGTTATAGTATAGAATTTATTCACTCTGCAGGAGTTGTGGTCAACAATTCAATTATATCAACAAAGCTTGCCAAAAGAATATTAGCTATGTGGACTCTCCTTTAGAGATGGCAAATTGACACCAAGTTGTAGAGTGGCATCATCAAATGTTTGACAAGATTTTTTATATTGGAGTGTAACTGTAAGATGATAATCTGAGAGTTTGTTGAGAAATTAAGTGTTCAGGGAATAAAACGGGATTCATTTTGTTACGGAATTTGATTTTCATTTGTTCCTTTGATAACCTCTTCTATTTTATAATTTCAGATGCAAGAGAGTAAGCTTAGGTCATTGATAGATGAAATGTCAGATTTTTTAATGATTCCATGGACCATGAAGTTTACTAAATTATTCAATGCTGTGGAAGGCTTGATTAACATATTGAAGAAGTATGCTGACTTTTTATGTCAACAAAACATTCGATCACAAGCGCGCAATGCTTCCATGGAACCACTGAGGAATCCAAACATCAATTTTTCATTAACCCCAATCCAAAAACTCACAGGTCCAATTAGAGCTGATTACATGGCATTAGATGCAACCTTGTCTGTGAAAGAACCTTACGAATTCCTTGATTTGGTTGAATTCTTACCAGAAGAGCGATTTGACAGGCGTTCATGGTTAGAACATATGCAACTTCCGTATCCTGTCGCCCATTACACATATTTTCATGGTAATTACTTGGGAAATATTAATTTCATTTGGAAGCTTCCACCCGAAGATGAAAGATCAGATGATAAAACAGTTAAAACTGTACAGCAAATAAGTGAATATATACCTACATTTTCCACACGATACATCAGGCAACAGTTCCTCAACAAATATGTACAAGCTACAAATTCACCCAAAGCAGTCCTCAGAAATTTGTATCGATTTCTAACTAACGACTGCTCGTCTGCAGAAACCGAAGACCAGGAGGTTATTGATAAACGTGTGGAAGAAGTTATCTCCCTCCAGGATCCTGAACTCACATGGGATTTAAGAAAGATGAACGGCAATGCTCGAAATTCAAAGTTTGATATATTTTGGACCGAACTTGACAATTATTTCAATGAAATAAATCTAGCTGTACATGAGAGACGTCATGGTCAACATATGTACTTACCATACGCAATATCTATTGAAGACCTTGTGTCAATTATAAAAAAGCGGTTGCCCGAAAACACTCCGATCCCATCAAACGAATGGGTGAGATTACAATTCTGGCCAACTAACCCAAACACAATAACAGCACTGCGATATACGGCAAGGTTTGAAGTTAAGTTTACTATTCAATCCAGACAAATACGAGGTCAGCATGAGGATAGTCACTATGTAGCAGTACAACTACAGTACATCAAAGCCTTTGCGGTAAAATATAGAGAATTTACAGATTTCTTGTGGATGGATGACAAGGCTATTGTGCCAATTGGAGAACCAGGATTACCAGTTTCAACAGGAGTAAGACCTCATAATCGTTCTCTGGCTCCGAAATCAGGCCCTTCGATAAGTGCTCTTGACCATGACTACAATGTTTGTGGTGCTATCCCCTCAGTTACTTTCAAATGTGATATCCCTGAGGCTGCATCTAGTTCCTTCTTCAACGGAATAGCTTTTGTGACGGTTAAAGATAAGGTTTTCAGTCCGTCAAATGCCATCCGCCATGGTTGTGAAACAACCAATATATTAAGAACACATTATAGCCAGGATGATACCCAAGTAAACGCTGAACACCCAATTTTGATCATGTATACAGACGGTGGCCCAGATCATCGGACAACATTTGGTTCGGTTCAAATAGCAGCCATCTGCATGTTCATGTGGTTAGATTTAGATTTTCTTATAACTGCTCGCACTGCACCTATGGGTAGTTGGGCCAATTTAGCGGAACGAGTTAATTCTAATCTTAATCTTGCTTTGCAAAATGTGAGTCTTTCTCGAGAACATATGACAGACAATCTAGAAATGAAGATGAGGGGTATAAATAGTCTAAAAGCAGCCAGAGACACAGCAAGACGATACCCTGCGTTTAAAGAGGGTCTCATCCAATCAGTAGCACCTGTTATAGAATTGTTGCAGGAGAGATTTGGTCATTTGAAGTTAAAAGGGGAACCAATAGTTATTAGTCCATCTGCAAATCAAGAATCAATTGATGACTTTTTTAAGATTGTGAAGGATCTGATAGACCAAAATCTGATTGAAAACAAACTAACAAAACCTGATCTAGAAAAATCAGCAACACTTCAAGATTTCATGAAGAAGCACTGTCGTTTACGTAATTACACATTTCAAATTAAAAAATGTGCGAATGCTCTGATAGAAAACTGTGCTTACTGTCTCTTTAACCCACCAAGACTTCCTGATGAAGTGTTTGATACCCTATCCTTCGTTCCAGATCCTGTGGTAGCATCCAACAATAAATATGAATCATTCGAAACTGTTTATGGACAAGCAACAAATGATTTGGCAAGGCCCTCGCTAATGCTGTCTTCCCAAAATAAGGAAATTGACAAAAAGAATAGAAAAATTCTCAATGCTACTAAAGTAAGAGATGCGGTGTTATGTGTCGAATGTGGGAAACCACGGTGTGTGTACTCTGAAACTAAACTAACATATATAGAGAAACAAGCTGTTGATCGTCTCAAAGAACTTAATTCTTTTACATGTGGTTCCCCACTCTTCCCACATTCCAGCAAATATAATAGTTCTATAATAGTCCGAGAAGGATTGAGATGTTGCTCCACGATGGAAACAACTTACTATTCAAAGAGCACTGTATCATTACCTGCAGTTTGTTTTCATTGTGGAGTAGCTAAGTCTTCAGATTTTGCTGCAGATCAAAACATTCAAAGCTTGCAAGCGCAATACAGTGTTGTTCGACCGATATGTGTGAAATGTAAAGATGATGGCAAGGAAGCCATAGTGAGAGGGAAAAGAAATGTAAAAAGACTAAGAAAAATGTAAGATGATGGCAAGGAAGCCATGGTGAAAGGGAAAGACATTAAGTAGGAGCCCCAAAACAGATGTCACTAGACTTTAACACTGTAAAATAGCTGTTTCAACTTTTATTTTATTAAATGTGTTCACTTAAAGGTTGTTTTGGTTTTATGCAGGAAAATGAAATGAAATGTAGTTTAATGTCCCATTTTTATGCACCGTAAAGCTAATTAGAGACGGGCATGTGCCAAGTATGTGCAGTGAGGGTGAATATAAAGTGAGAAATAGTAAATGTATTGCAGTACAACCAAATTTTAAGTAATATAGACGCCATTTTGAATTCCCGCCCTTTGAATTTTTTTCATATTAATTTTAATTTTATTAATTGACTCAGCAACCCTGTACACCCTCATATAGCTCAATATGATGCATGCAAAGTGAGAAATAGTGAAGATATTGCAATGCCTATAAATTTAAAGTAATATAGCCGCCATTTTAAATTTCCGCCATTTTGGATTTTTCCATCATCACCAAAAAATTCAGTGAACCCCAAACTCTAATAGTTATTATGATAAATATAAAGTGACAAATAATACCGTTATTCCATAAAACTTGAATTTTCACTCCATTTTAGCTCAAAAACTTCTGGGGGTATTTTTTTTTTTTTCCCCCTGCCCTTTACACAATTTTGGTCTTTTTTTTTTTTTTTTTTTTTCCCTCCTGCCTTTACAGATTTTTCCAGAAAAAATCCGTAAAACAAGAAAATAAATTGGTCTGGCCTAATGAACATTTTCTGCTCAGGGTTAGCAGAGTGATAAACAATTTGATTGGTCGAGACTTTGGAACACAATAACTCCCCTTCTAATTGAGCAATAATGTTCACACTTGGTGTAGGTGTTTATTAAGTGAATGGCTTGATGGAGTTCGAAGATGAGAATTTTCTGCTAAGGGTAAGCCTAGATAAGCAATGTGATTGGTTGATGCTTTGGGACATGATAACTTCAGTTCTAATTAAGTGAGTGTGATGAAACGTGGTGTATAGTTTCATCACATCAATACCTTGATTAAGTTGATAATGAACATTTTCTGCTGAGGGGGTAAGTTTGATGGGAATTTTCTGATTAGGCTAAGGAGCGATAAATTTGATTGGTCAAGGCTTTGGAACATAACAACTCTGCTTCCAATTGATTATTGAGGTAGACTGTTTAAACTTGATGTTGATGTTCATTAGGTAAATATCTTTGACTTTGATTCTATCTGAAAGAGAGTGTTGAAACTAAGTGTATAGTTGATAATCAGTTTGATTGTTGATACTTTTGAAAAAGATATAAATGCAATTAATTATTATGTTTCATCTATTTCGAAGGGGGACATCAGTCTTACTGTTGGCTTGTTTAAAATAAATTATTGTGGAGCTGCAAAACTTTTGCCAACAATTTGTTCTGAACTAACACATAAATTTTTTTTTTGTCTTTTTTTTGGAAGTTGATAAAATAGAAGCACCCAATTAACTATTCTTCATTTTTTGTGTGAAAAACTGGATGTGGTTGAATATAGTGGTTGATTTTAATTTTTAATTTGGAAACTTGGACATTACAGAAATAATAAGGATTTCAAAAAAGGAGGTCACATTTTCTTGACTATTCTCTGTTTCTTTTAACCCACAAACTTGAAACAGAATATATTGAGTTAGTAGATAGGACATTTGAAGCTTTTTTACTCCTACACATTATTCTTTTCAATGATCTGTAAATATCTGAAATTGTTATGAATAGTTATACTAGTTTCTATAGTAGTGACATAAAAGTACTGCTGATATCAGCAATATGGTTGTCTTGTAAATTAATATGTTATTACTACATGTCGCATATTTAAATATGTAATAAATTGAAGTTATATATAAATATATAAGTATAAAAGAGTGTATGATCATATCATAGTATTAATGTTTATATTATAATAAAAGGTATATGTACTGATGAATATGTAAGTTATTGACATTAAACTATGGGGAATAAATTATTCTCTTAAATAAACATTTTGTTGTGATTTATTGGTATGTTATTTACTATAATTCTTTAACTTCATTGACAATCTGTTAAAAACAATTTCATTTACTTTCTTTGATAGTCAGAGGCTTCAATATTTTAACATAAATGTATTCATTCAGAGGTTGGTCTGTGGTCCCCAGTTTCATGTGAATACTCTACAATCATTTTGAAATTTATAAATGTTGTTTTTCAGGAAATCCAGTATTTTTCTAGTAAGATTGTATCTCTACTTTCCATATATACCAAAATTGTCATACTTTTATTGCAAATAACCACCCGATAAATACTTTTCTGGGAACCTATCTTTAATTTTAATGTGGGCTTGGAATGGGATTTAAATTTGCGAAATTCAAACCTAGCTCATTCTTGTGTAACGGTGATATTTAAAAGGTTTTGAAATCGGATCAATAATGTGACCTCTAGTGTCCACAAGCTTAAAACGCATTTGGTACAATCTGGGAAGTTATGGACCAATATGCAGGTCAAGATCTTTGGGATATAAACATATACATGTATTTTGATTTTTTGTACAATCAGGGGCCATAATCCAGGAAGTGACAGTCCGATATGCACCAATATCGAAAGGAACCAAGATCTGTGAATTATAATTATACATTTTAAGTTTCATCAAAATTTGATAAAAATTGTGACCTCAAGAATGACCACAATAGCTAAAAACGTTTTTCGTACAGTCAGGGGCCATAACCCATGAAGTTACGGTCCAATACATGCTAATATTGAAAGGAAGGATTTAAACCTATTTTCATGTTTCGTTAAAATCAGATAAATATTGTGACCTGTATAGTGTGGACAAACAAAATGTGGATGGACAGACTGACAGGGGCCATGACAATATACATCCACCTGTAAATGTGGGCGCATAAAAACCATTGGAACAGTGACTCCACAAATCATCAATGGTCTGCTGAAAGCTGAGTAATTAAATCAGTGAGTATTTAAACTGGATGCTCTAGAGATTTCTTCAGATACAAATCATGAAATGAAATGGGGTTTAACGTCCTACTGTTTTGCTCATTTACTGGGCTAATGAAGACGGTGATATGCCATACAGTGTGCTATGAGGGGAAATTTTGCCCAGGCAGCAACACTATGGCTTTCTCTTATACTGAATTCCAACTGCCAAGGGATCTTTTACGTGAACTCAATGTATACACGGGACCTTGGTTTTCTGTCCCATCCGAACGACTAGACAGCTGTACTTGTCAGGCCCTCTGTCCAGCACCACTGACAAGGGGAAACCACGTCTGAAAATCTTGATGATCTTTCTTGGCCAATACAGGGATCGAAAAAAGTGACCTCCAGGCTAGCACGTCAGCGTCTTACCCACTTAGCCACTGTGGCTCCCAGATACAATCATATCATCCATTTATTAAAGATAAGTTGCCCGGCAACAAAACATACACCCCACAGCCGCTAAGTTGTCCGAGCAGTCAACAAGTGGTGTCACATACTTTTTCTTTTGTCGGTAATGAAAAAAAATACAACACACTAGTTCTGTCACATGCTGTTTGGTATACAAACCATTGAATATCATGAATTTAGCTGCTCAAATTATCAGAAATAGTACTGTGTATTAATTTAAATTCAATCGGATGAAACTTTTGGTCTTGACAGCATCCACAATATTTTTCATATATCAAGGGCCATAACTTAATCAACAATTTTTTGTTTAAAAGAGTCAATAAGGTCCGTGGTCTCAGAACCATAAACACATGTATTTAAATTCAATCAAATGATAACTTTCGTCTGTAGAGCATGAACAAGAATATTCAATGAGGTCAAGGGCTATGACTCTGGCAGTATTTGTCGAATATCTGCTTTTTCATCTATGACATTGAACACTGTGTATAAATTTAAAGTCATTTGAATGATAACTTTGGTCGGTAGAGTATCCATTATATTTCTCGAAGAGGCCAAGGGCTATAACTCAGGCAGTAATTATTGGAAATTCTTGAAAATCAATGGGCTTCATCGTCTTATGATCATAAACACTGTGTATAAATTTAAAGTCGAACAGAAATTAACTGGAGCCTCTTGAGTAGCGGAGGGACGGATGATCAGAAGCGACGACAATATAAGACTACATTTCAATATAGGCATATAATTAGGCTAAAACAGGTTATTAAAATGACAAGATTTGAATTATTAAGTGCAATGAATTTCAATAACAACCACTCTACAGACCCAATGCACTGAAAAGCAAAGTAATTAATTTACAAAAGTATTAAAATTCAAAGGCTTCAAGAATTGTTATCTCTTTTGTGTTCACAAGCTTCTCCGGAACAGGAAGTCCAAGAATGCTGAAAATCAACAGGGATTATCCTCTTTTCTTCACACCAGGGGGTTTGGATGGCTGAATGGTTAGCACGTCTGTGCTGTATCATAAGATCTGTCATTAAGTCAACTGGTGTGGTTTTGATTCCTCGAGTTGTACATGACGAAGTAGGGACGCCTGTCCAACCTCGTGGGTTTTCTCCAGGCCCTCTGGTTTCCTACCACTGCTAAAGATCCCTACGCACAAGTGAATTATTGAAGTAAACTTGAACCATATGTTAGTCCCGAAATGTTTAGTGGGCGTTAAACCCCATTTCTCTCTCTTCACACCAAATTTAAATATACCCAGCCAAATTAAAAACTTGACACTCGGGATTTTTGGGACTAGATTTTTAATATTTGGCTTAAGGCAACTATTTTAGTGTTATGTTGTGCACAGACGACCTTGACATCAACAGAAAGCAAGAATACGTCTCGCCGAAAGTCCTTGACATTAATAACGTTCATGATGTCACAGTACCCCCCAAAGTGAAATTCACAGACTTGGAGAACAATCGGAATAAAGTGTTTAGTAACGGTTGTGGCCTCCTCTAGCGTCTTGTACTGCCACACAACGTCTTCTCATGGATCTCAGAACATTAGTAAACACTACCCGAGGAAGATGTCACCACTGCTCAGCAAGAGCATGTTGAAGGTCCTGCAAAGTCAGTGTTGGATTCACTTGCTGACGAACACGTCGACCTAGTTCGTCCCAGATGTGTTCAATAGGATTAAGGTCGGGGCTAAGCGACGGCCAATCCAGGACTTGGACACTGGCATTTCTTAAAAAATTCTGGGTAGCAATTGCTGTATGGGGTCGAGCATTGTCTTGTTGAAACATTAGTCCAGGCCCATGTCTCTGCATAAACGGAAGAAGAACAGGTTGCAAAATCTGATCCCTGTACTGGACAGCATTTAAGTTCCCTTGGACAACAACAAGGGGAGAACGTCCATGTGCACAAAAAGAACCCCAAACCATTACGCTGCCGCCACCAAATCATCAACTTCTCTGACGCATACTTGAGCGTAACGTTCACCTCATCTGCGGTACACTCAGGCCCTGCCATCGGCAAATCTCAAAGTGAATCAAGATTCGTACTTAAAGACAACCGAATTCCACTGTCTTTGAGTGAATCTGATGTGTCTTGTGGCCCACACAAGTCGGTTACGGCGATGAAGAGGTGTCAATATTGGTCCATTATAGGGCCTCCGAGCTCGAAGACCAGCAGTCTGCAAGCGATTTCGAACAGTTTGTGCAGTTACCCTTCCACCAAACATCTCTCTACTTGTGGAGGTTGCAGTGACAAATCTGTTTCTAAGATGTCGTAATCGTATTGCTTGATCTTCCTGGAGTGACGTCGCATTCTAAGATTAATTATTGTCTGGCTGAACAATTAAAGGCTCTTGCAACAGTGACCACAGACTGACAAGCATAGAGCCTACCTAAAACACGTAGACGTTCTACATTTGAAAGGCGCGGCATTTTCTAACAAAGATGAAAATAACAATTTTAATTTGTTTTTCCAGTTCAAGTTACGTGTGCGTGTTCAGTTTAAGCAAACTTGCATCGATTGACCTCACGAGTTTGTGTTGGCACGTGTTTTTCAGGTTTTTCATCTTTATATGCTCAAAAGTCACGTGATCCACGTGACTTTACAATTTTATGAAATTAAAGGCTTCTTACTACTTACTATCGTTAGAAACACTTTAAAATTTGTTTGACTTAACAAAATAAAAAATTTGTTGAGATTCATCAGTGTCAAGTTTTTAATTTGGCTGAGTATAACATTAAGTTTCATCATGTCAGAGTTCTAATATTTCGAAAAGATAGGTAGCCAGGCAACAAAAGATACGCCCACAGCAGCTAAATCGTCCGAGCAGTCGACAAGGGTTGTCACATATTTATTCTTTTGTAGGTAATTAGGGGAATTTAATAGACAATTTCATACAGATGACATTATAATTTCCGTTGTTTGAAGGTTCACAAGGTTCTAAAATCTAAAACAAGGGCCGTAACTCTGGAAGCAATCTACAGAAATTGTTCAAATTCGAAAGGCTTTTTTCGTTTTAATAATTCAAATAATGCATATGAATTTCATACAGATCGGATGATAACTTTTGTAGTTCGTCTTCATTTCACTAATTTAGGTGATAACTGAAACTCAATAGGCTTGTTCGTTTTACTAATTTAAATGATACATATAAATTTCATACAGATCGGATAATAACTTTTGTCGTTAGAGCATTTACAAGGTAGAACAAAGTGAAACAAGGGCCATAATCACGGCGTAATTAACGGAAATTGCTGAAATTCAATAGGCTACTTCATTTCAATAATTTAAATGATGCATATCAATTTCAAACAGATCGGATGATAACTGTTGTCATTAGAGCGTTCACTAAGGTGCAACAAAGTGAAACAAGGGCCATAACTCCAGAAGAAATTAACGGAAATTGCTGAAATTCAATAGGCTTCTCCATTTCACTAATTTAAATGATGCATATCAATTTCATACAGATCGGTTGATAACTTTTGTCATTAAAGCGTTCACAAGATTCAACAAAGTGAAACAAGGGCCATAACTCTAGATTTAATTAACGGAAATTGCTGAAATTCAATAGGCTTCTTTGTTTTACTAATTTAAATGATGCATATAAATTTCATACAGATCGGTTGATAACTTTTGTCGTTAGAGCGTTCACAAGGTCCAACAAAGTGAAACAAGGGCCATAACTCCAGAAAAAATTTACAGAAGTTATTGAAATTAAATAGGCTTCTTCATCTCACTTATACAAACAACATATATCAATTTCAAAACAATCGGTTGATAAATGTAGTCTGTAGAGTGTTCACAAGAAATTGTGGACGATGGACGGACGGACGGGGGTGACGGCAATAAAAAAGGGGGAAACAATCAGGACAGAATGCTGTAATCAATAAGGTTCATAAACTCCTGGGGGGATTGGATGGCCGAATGGTTAGTGTATGCATGCTATATCGTAAGATCTGTCATTTAGTTAACTGCCATGGTTTTGATTCCCCAGTTGTACGTGACAAGGAGTAGGGTCCCCTGTCTAACCCTGTGAGTTTCCTCCGGGTCCTCCCACTGCTAAAGACCCTTACGCGCAAGTGAATTATTGAAATAAAATTGAACCATATGTTAGTTCCAAAATTTTTAGTGGGCGTTAAACCCCATTTCTCTCTTCACACCAAATTTAAATAACAATAAGTTTCATCATGTTAGAGTTCTAATATTTCGGAAAAGAGGGGGAAACAATCGGGACAGAATGCTGTAATCAATAGGGTACAGCTAGGGCTCTCGGTAATTTTTCACAGATGATTAGCAGCACTGCTAATCAAAAAGTCCAATTTTGCCAAATTTGATTAGCAAATTTAAAAATTATTAGCAGTTTTTCAGTTTCAAATCAACATAAAACACCTAAATAACAAAATTATTTTAATTTTAATTGATAGCAAATGATTAGATTTCATTCTTAAGATTTTTTAGAATTTTAGCACTTCTCATAGCTAGCTGTGAACATTTCTGAATGAATGTAGACTTTTGTTAGGCCTTATGTCTGAAGCCAATTCTTGGCAGTGGCTTCTTATTTCTTCGTTAGAAAACAATTTCGTCTGCTTTTTATCGTGTGTTATTATTTTTGTTCAATCGGAAGCACGCGGTATTTTACGAATAATCTCGATTAACTAAACGCACGCGATATAAACAATAATAGTTTACGGGAATTCTTACTTTGATTTCTCACTTTACAATACGTTTACACGTATTTATTTTTTACATTTTATTTACAATACGTGGGGGATACACTGAATTTATTTTTTTTCAAATTGAATACTGATATAATTACTCGAAATTGACATGTCTCGCAACGTGAGTGGTGCTACTTGATTCCCTATTTCCGGTTTAATAGTCCCGATTCATAGAGTTATGTCCCTGTATTATATAGTATCATGAATTGAGTCTGGGTAGTTCGAGAAGAAAATGTCACACGGAGAATTCGAGAATTCCGTTTTGTTTATAAAATTTATTTAATATTTTATACACGTTGAACGTGTTGAGAAATGTGAATAAAACTTTGTGTCAATATCCAAAATGACAGGCATATTAATGATTCGCTGTTACTGCGAATCAAAAACGTTAGATTTTAATTTTTGATTAGCAACGGACAAAATATGTATCGCAAATTGCGCTGCGATACTGGTTGTCGGCAGCCCTGATAGGGTACATCAACTCCTGGGAGGTTGGATGGCCGAATGGTTAGTGCATGATGTGCGCTATATCATTAGGTCTGTGGTTTTGATTCCCCAGTTGTACGTGACAAGGAGTAGGGTTGCCAGTCTAACCGTTGAGTTTCCTCCAGGTTCTGCCACTGCTAAAGACCCTTACGCACAAGCGAATTATTGAAATAAAATTGAACTCAGTGCCTCATACAACATTTGAAAAGAAATCTATTAAATATTAAAATCTATTAAATTGGCAAGGTTGTCGGAAATGTGGAAATAGCTAATTACCTTATACAGCAAGTAAACATTCTTCCTCATATTGGGGCAGTTATTGTGTCCTTAAAAGTGGCTCAGCCTGGGTCCCCCCTATCAGTGGTGTAGGACAGAGGCCCAGACAAAACAGTGGATGGGACATAACAATCCAGGTCCTGTTAAACATAAAGAACCTCGACAGTTGGAAATCGAAATAGAGTGGGTCATAGTGCCGCTGTCCAGGCCAATTTCACTTACAGCATAGTGTACATGTATGCCCATCTTCATTGGCATCATTTGTGCAGAAAAGAAGCTACCCCCCCCCCTCCATTTCATTTATCCAAGAAGGCAGTAACAGGCGGACCCTATTTATTAGTCCCACAGAATTTTATATACTATTCTCAGTCATCCTCAGTTGTGTTTTTTAAACACTCATTTTTCTCTAGTCCAGAGGATATGTGATTGGCAGGAGCCTAATACCAAGTGGAATAACCTAGGATTGCTTTTTATCTAAATCCAACACCAAGCAACAATATATTGTAGAATCAGTTTCCATAGATCCCCTAAAGTTTTTCAACGACCCCAGTATGGGAAACGCCATCTCAATGGTACAATTATGGGTCAAATGGGCTTTAGTTCAATAATGAATTCAAATGGTATCTCCTTTTCTGCAAACAAATCTAAATGCAGCACAAATTATGCCGGAACAAGAATATTAACATATCCAATTAAAGTTAGATCTACTGGGTAAACCCACAACAACGGTAATACCCAGTGGGTATGCCCTTTTTTGCACTCTGACCTCGATTCAAGAAGACCATGACCCACTTTTTCACTAAAATCTCCCGCTCAAATATGTCCCATTGTTAACCAATCCCATCTCACAAGTCAATGGTATATCCAAGGAGGGTAAAACCTACGAACAATATATCTAGAAAAATCTGGTTTTAACTGTGACCGCAGATTCAACCAAGAGATTTTCCTAGATATGATCAAAGGAAAGTTAAATTCGCCAAACAATATCTAATATTTTAAATGCAGTAAAATATTTGTCTTGCAAGCCAAATAATCTATATAAAATATTCAACTCCCTGATAACAAAAACATCTGATTATAAAACCAAAGATAACATTTTTTTATTGAATGAAACAAGACAAAAATATGATCAAAGAAATAGTAAATTTTACTAGATGTTAAAATAATAGCACTAACCATGTAATAATGCTTGCAAATAAAATTAAATTAGCTCATGGAAATATAATTTGGCACAGAACTGAAGAAAAGTATATTTACTTCTATCACAAGCAATAAACTATCATAAGTTTCTTTTTCTGTAATATCATTTACATAATATCACCACATAATGTAGCAATTAATGGTTTACTTTTCTGACCAGACTTTCTTCAATGGAATATCTATACATGTATAATACAAGTTCTATTCTATAGCCTTTAATAGTACAGGTGTACTATGAACAAATGTACATGTATAATACAAAGATATTTCTGGCACCATTTAGTTATATTTACACAGCAGAATACATATGGTAATTACATCAGATTTGGTCATCTTTAACTTCACTAATAGACAAGTCACCCAAAACGTTATGCATGTACATGTAGGCCTATGAGCAAGATACAATTGTGCTCAATATAAAGCATGGACTCCAACCATTTAAATGTACCATATATTAGGCAAATTACATCAAGTCCTATTTTTCTTACATGTCTCCATAACCATATTTCAATATCAAAATTAAAAAAAATTATCACTGTTTGTGACGGATTCTCTTGGGTTACAAAGAATAATTAGAATATCCAAACATTAGAATCACAAAATTTGCAAGGTGAAAGACTGTTCACAAAATCTTCTTAGAAATAACCATGGTCACATGTAAAATAAACGATGACACCGATATAGCTAATCATAATGCTCTTAAAAACCTACATTTGTATGTTTTCAAAAGTGGGTTGAGTATATGGTAATACACAAAAACAATTGAACATAACATATTAACAGAAGAAAAAAAATGTTTAGCACATAATTTGTTGCAAATATTTTGTGAAGGTTTATCAGTTTTCTAGTCTCTGTATTTCAATAATAATCACAACTTTTTGGCCTATACAGCTTTTTAATTAGCACTCCATATATTTTCAAAGCTGGAATTAGACTGTCCATGATAATTGTTTATGGTTCTATAAAACGGATCACATTAATCCCATTCTTCTTCATCTCCTCCCCCACCAGTTGCATTAGAACCAGCGTTATTGCCATCAAACCATTCATTTGAATCACCGCCACGTCCACCACCAGATTCATTACGTCGGATATCTTTACCACCAAACCTACCACCAATACGACCACCAGTTGATTCCATGGCACTGGCAGCATAGCTCTCCAACCATGAGGGTACACCTTGACTTGCTTCATACAAAATCCTAACCAAACTTTTTGCCAAGGCAGAATCTGAATCGTGCGAATAGAAGCTGGTTGCTCTGCCAATATTACCACATCTTCCAGTTCGACCAATTCTGTGAACATATTCATCTATAGATTGTGGCAGGTCATAATTTACAACATGTTTAACGCCAGGAATATCCAGACCACGCGCAGCCACATTTGTTGCAACCAAGATCGGAGCTTTACCAGTTTTAAAGTCTAGTAAAGCCTCTTCTCTTTCTCGTTGAAGGCGATCACCATGTATGCTTGTTGTTGGGAATCCTGATTGACTTAGATATGAAGCAAGAAAATCTGCATTTCGCTTTTGTTCTACGAAAACAAGTGTTTTGTCTGTTCCAGCATCATTCAAAATGGAACAAAGTTTTTCTCTCTTTTCGAGTCTATCAATTTCAAAAAATAATTGTTCAACATCTGTATTAGCCCCACCAACTCGACCAACTGTTACAAACAGGTAATCGTTTAAGAAATCTGCTGCCAGTTTCTGAATTTCTTCAGGGAATGTAGCACTAAACATAAGAGTTTGCCTCTCAGTTTTAGAAGGCATACCCATTGTTTCAACTAACTTTCTAATGTCTGGTTCGAAACCCATGTCTAACATTCTGTCGGCTTCATCAAGAATTAAGAATTTACATTTGGCAAGACTTATTTTCCCCTTATTAATAGTGTCTAAGAGTCTACCTGGTGTACCTACAACAAAATGTGCACCTTGTTCAACTTGTCTAAACTGATGCCCAACTGATGTGCCACCATACAACACAACTGCCCTCAAATCTGTACCATGTGCGAATTTTCTAGCATCTTTCCATATCTGATCAGCAAGTTCTCTGGTTGGTGCAACAGTAATAGCTTGTGGTGTTTGTATTTCGGAGAACTGACTTGATTGTAAGCCTTCTTTCATCATACAGGTTATCACCGGTAAAACAAAGGCTGCAGTTTTTCCTGAACCAGTTTGAGCACAGGCCATAAGATCCCGACCTGCCATAATAATTGGAATGGCATATTTCTGAACTGGTGTTGGTTTATCATAATTAGCTTTCCTAACATTTCTAAGAAAAGTGTCTCTTAAACCTGCTTCATCAAAATTGCTAATAAATGATACTGGTGACCGTCCCGATACTTCGACTGGAATGGAATCGTACTTGTCAAAATTAATACCCTTTTCAATGCTCTTAAACATTTCCGCTTCATCATTACTTGGCTCTGGTGGAACATAAATTTCTCTCTTCTCTCCATCTTTTGTTTCTGCATTTGGACATTCTCTCGACATGTGACCTTCTTCACCACATTTAAAACATCCAGAGTTTTTATGACCACCACCACCAAAACCACTGCTGTTTCCTCCACTCTTGGCAGCACCCCCAAATCCGCCACCATCACCAAATCCCCCACTTTTTGTGCCACCATCACCACCGCCAAATCCCCCAGAGCTTCTTCCACCACCACCACCAAATCCCCCAGAGCTTCTGCCACCATCACCTGCAGCACTTGGGCATTCTCTTGACATATGACCTTCTTCCCCACATTTAAAACAGCCTTTTCCTCTTGACTGACCACCTGCACTTGGACATTCTCTTGACATATGACCTTCCTCTCCACATTTAAAACAGCCTTTTCCTCTTGATTGGCCACCTGCACTTGGGCATTCTCTCGACATGTGACCCTCTTCGCCACACTTGAAACATCCAGAACCACCTCCACTTCTGCCATTCGTGGATCCAAAACCTTTAGAACCACCGCCAAAGTTTCCTCCAAAACCACCACTTTTCTGGAAACCGGAATTTTCGTCTGCGTTGCCAAAACCATTTGAAGTCGGTTTGCTTCCAAATCCACTTTCATTTCGTGACTTTCCAAAACCGTTTGACAAGCCACCTGGTTTGGATGTGTTATAATTGTTGTTTTCGCTATTTATCTCTTGTAGAACACCACGACCAAATCCTCTACCAAATCCTTTAGTCTGCTTAGACATCGTTGTGGCATTCCCGGAGGGTGTCTCGTCCAAATCTGCCATGTTTTTTAGCCCACGTGTTTTCTTCTCAGTTACTTTATGAGGACTGATTCCCCCAGAACATTCGCACAATACTGGATCTTCAATGAGTTACTTTCTATTTTTCACTCGGCAACCGGCTGCAGATTTCACTCGGCCAACTTCGGTTACTCCTCTACACCAAACCATGTTTCCAAACAGAATTATCTTTCCGTGACCCGCAAATTATATTTTTAACTGGTTTGCTTTTGGCGCAATATTCTGATGTTTAGGCTAACACTGTTTTTAACGGCGTCAGCTTCTTATATTTATTGGGCTACAAACACTAAACAGTTGTCTTTTATTTTCTGAGGAGATTTTCTGACCTGGGTAATGTAAATGAAGTTTGTTACTTTATAGTAGGCTAGTATTTGACTAAAACTGCATAAATCAAATCTTAATCATAGATGTACCGATTGTAAATAATATTTTTTGCTGACAAAGTCTTTTCTAACTTTTGGGGTAAGACTACTAAGTAGCCTACATTGAAATTAGTGCTAGTACAGTAGAAGTGGTCTTGGCGTCGGGTAATCGATATGAAAACAAGTCTACATTATAATTAGGCCTAGATATCTACCTAGTCCGACTTCATTTCAAGCATTTTATTTATACCCCTTAAGTTGTAGTAGTGACAGTTTAACTACAAGTAAGTGCAACCAACAGGGGGTCACAGTATCGTGACTCGTGGACTTGTCAGGAGTATAACTTGAGCCTGAGAATGATCAATGAGATACACACAAATGGATAAGTCTGATAATCAGTTAATAAATCAGATGTAACTTGTAAATAAAGGCACTGTATGACAGTGTATGTAGGCCTACATATGATATATATTCTAAATACTAATAAATAGGCCTAGTAGTATTGTTTTATTAATATTACCTATTTATTAATTAATAGGGTTTCAGGTCAAACTCAAAGTTTCAAATGATCAAAACGCTCTATATACCAGTCAATGCGTGGGATGGCACCAAAATAAGTGCTTTTCTGTCATATTTGAGTGACGTCATGAGTCATAAGCGGTATTTTCCCTTCAGAATCGCTATACTGGCTAGGCTCTATATAGTACCAATTTTAAAACTGAATGAAATCCGCACGTTATTGTCAGCTAAGATTTATTAAAATCATAATTATATATTATAGATCTAATTTCAAATATTATACTTAACTAATAGAATCAATTAAGCTTTTACTATCTAATATGGTCGAAGCTCAGGTCCTAAAAACGCCTTTAATTTATGGTTTCTGTTATTCTTAAATAGATATTGTTAGGGACCTCATGCTGGAGGTTCGGTCGCATGATCATTTAATGTTCGAATTCTATACAAAATTGTAAAGTCTGAAGTTAGTATCAATGTAATTTGCTTATCTGGTCAACAAAGGTCCATTTACATTGATTTTGATGGAAAATTAGATCTGAATTACATATTACATATTTAAAGTTTATATTTCTTGATTATAAAGGTAGAATTTGAAATTATTTTTTCAGTGTTTTAAATGGGTTGGTTTTTTTTTTTGATGGCTTTGACCATTAAATTGAAAAAAATCAATGAAATGGACCTTTGTTGTGGTGTGGATAGGCTTGGGTGTAGGGGTGCCGGGAGCCCAAGTAGTGTCGTTAAAAAAGTATTAACATTAGTGTTACTTTACTCTTATTTTATGAAAGTTTTTTTCGCAAGTTGATTTCCTTTATTTTTTTAATGTAGAATGGTAATGAACTGCTTTTTTCCTTTTCTTTGCTTTATTTGTTCCGTTTGAATTTGATTTATCTGTTTAGTTTTTGATTGTTTAATTATTGTTTTTGTTAATTAAGTTGATTCTTTTAAACTTTGTTTTTATTTTTATACGTCCGTCGTCCACAATTTCTTGTGAACGCTCTAGAGACTAAAGTTAATATCTGATATTTACTGCCAGAGTTATAGCCCTTGATCACTTTGATAAATCTTGTGAACGCTCTAGAGGCTAAAGTTAATATCCAATGGACTCCAAATTGTTACACAGTGTGTAAGGTCATGAGACGAAGAAGCCTAATGATTTCCAGCGATATCCGATAATTACTACCAGAGTTATGGCCCTTGATCACTTTGAAAAATCTTGTGAACACTCTAGAGGCTAAATTTAAAATCCAATTGACTTTAAATTTATACACAGTGTTTAAGGTCATGAGACAAGACGCCTATTGATTTTCAGCGAGATCTGATGATTACTGCAAGAGTTATGGCATTGATATGTGAGAGACATCAGTTTAAAGTCGATTCTGGTTATTATAATCTAATGTATGAACTTTGTGTTGATTTTACCAGCCTGTAATTGTGGTATCATAATTAATTGTGATTTTAACATTTTTTTTAGTTAACTATATTAAATGAATTCCAAATGTACGTGTTGGCGAGGGGGTACATTAATAATTATATGTTTTTGTAGTACATGTTCCTTGTTTTATAATAAAACTACGCCCTTTCATTTTTCAGAAGAAAAGTATAGAAAATATTTCCAATTATCTATCTTGAGGTAAATCAGTTTATTATTTTCATTAACAGTTCTTATTTTTGTAAATTTTTATGTAAATCAACTACTTGTCATTGGAGTGCATCTCAAAATTCACTTTCCTTATCTACATAAAGTTTATGTAATAAGTTATAGTGTGTAAATTTGAAGTAAGTTCATATGTTTTTTTATTAATTATTTACAGATCACAGAGATTGAATGCTGCAGGTCTTGTGTTTAGTGTATAGACTAATTGGTGGATGTTATTAACATTAACCTTTTAGCAAAGGTTAGCTTGATGATGTTACTGACTTTGCAGTGTAGTGGAAGATGTTAACCTAACTTTGGTAGACAACAAGCCTAACCCTGAAGTCAACGATGTACAATATGTCAGTGTCACTGTTCCACTACCAAACGTAACGCGAATATAAACAATACTTACGGGTACATGTATTTACTTTGATTGAAATGAGGTCAACTTAAAAATTTGTGTAGATGTGTTATTTGTTGTAACAGTTATATCCATAAAAGTTATATCCATAAAATGTAAATTGTATTTTCTCTATATTAGTATAACAGATTAAACGAAATAAGATTATTTCACTCATGACTCGTAGTCACCCACCATCGTAGAAGTGTCAACATATCGAGAACACGCATTCATGAACCATGATTAGTTGGGACAAATTAATAATGAGGAATACTGTTTTCAAAGGCCTTAAGACAGGAAAGTGGTTATTGGTCACAACATTCATGTGTCACTGCAGGGGAGGGGGTGGAGTCAAATGATAATGCATTCGTGTTGGATAATAAGGTCTGTCATTTAGTGAAGAGGCTTAGCTTCGTTTCCAAGAGTAGGGTCGACTGCATTCCCACTGTTAAGATTTCGAGAAACAGGGCCCAGATTCTCACATCAGATACTTGAACCACAGAAAAGGTTACCTTTCAGAAAATTGGCTCTGTAGCCTAAAACTGAATCACCTATATCTCGGTTCAGAGCAAAGCAATCTGACTGAAATTTCAGCATTTTCTGTTTCTATTATTTATTGTTGAACTATTATAGCGAGAACTGTCAGCTCTTATCTAATCTTACCCAATGGCGCCAATGCCCCTTTAAAATGCCCCTTATAAATCTAGTTTAAAATCCAAATATTTGTCTAAACTTTAGACAGACCTTATGATCTACTAGTATTCTCCAGTTGGTCAATTTCACTGCAAGTCAGTCAAAACGGCCAAACATGACTGGCGAAAATAAGGTTGGAAGTACCTTCAAAACAAACCATGGCACTTGAATCAATGACAGACCTTATGATCTAAAGCATACATCAGACCACTCAACCACACAACTGGTAAAGACTTTAGACAAATATTTGGATTTTAAATTAGAAACAAAACCATACTGTTGAAGATGTAATTGAGACAAGACATTAGACTAGCACTTATATTTATTAGCAAAAAAAAGCCAACAATTTGATTGGTTTTAGTGCTTAGCCAATCAAAATTGAAATTTCTACTAAAATTTGGATTTGATCTTAGTTAAAATTTCCCTACTTTTAAGTTCTGGTAAAATGTCCTTATGTGTCGGAAGTTCTGATTTGTCGACTAAACGAAAGCGACCAGACTGTCCACCGTTGGCTTTGAGAAATGCGACAATTTTGATCGGTGACATACTTTGCGTTACAATGGTGTACATCTGATTTCTAGTGGAATGATTTATAAAGCGAACTGGAACGGGGAGGTTATACAGTAAGCCGTTAATCTGGCGTGTGATATGATGAGGGAAAGCAGGTCCAAACAGTAGATCTTTTAGCATTTTAACTTTAATGAATTCGTCTAGTCGTGCCTGGGCAGCTTTTAAAATAAATCTATCAGCATGACGGTAATGTGGTTTTCTAGGATATTTCTTCTTAGCCTGTGAATCTGTTACTTCTTCCTTCATTTCAACATCTGTGTCACTGGTCTCAGTTTCTGAATCAGTTCCCTCAGCTGTAGTAGCTGTAACGTTTTCTCCTGCATCCTCGGCAGCTTTCTTCAACACCTCCGCTTCTTTAAGCAACGTATCAAAACTGACAGATTCTATCGCTTGATCAGGTTTAGTGTAAGCAGAAACCTGGAATGAAAAACGATTTACTAAGACATGATATCTAGGTTAACTTTAAATAATGGCATTCATCAATTAAAGGTCAAATCTGTGCCTAGCCAGGAAGGCATTTTTATGTGCAATACAAGAGCAGAACGAAAACCAAGGTGGCTCAGTACATGAGGTGCCAGCTCTGTGGATAAGCCATCGGCTCAGGGGTTAAGCCACCAGCTCAGTTGGTAAGACAATGTCTCAGTGGGTAAAGACCCACCTCTGTGGGTAAACCGCTGGCTCGGTGGGTTCTGACTCGGTGTGTAGGACACTGGCTCATTGATAAGAATCTGTTTTTAATCTGGCCAATGAAGTTCCTCAGGTTTTTCCAGCCTTTTTTCGTCTTGTTGCAAGGGCAAGATGGACTGGACAAGAAAAAAGGTCCCTTGTATAGCCATTGGCAGCATGTTGACGGAACGGGAAA